CAAAAAAAAAAAAAAAAAAGAAGAAGAATATTTGGTGAAACATGAAAATTACATAAAATTCAAATTTTAGTGACCATAAATAAAGTTTTATTGGAACACATCCAGGTTCATCTATTTACATCTTGCTTTCACACGACAATGGCAGAGTTGATTAGTTGTAACAGAGACCATATGGCCTGCAAAGCCCAAAATACTTACTATGTGAACATTTACAGCAACATTTGCCAACACTTGTTGTAGATTGAGAGTATAGTAATTCTGTGATTTACATTAATGGGTTAAGACCCTGACTACTCAGTAGCAACCCTCTCATAGGGTTGTGGGGCGAATTAAATGAGTTACATATAAATCAAGTACTTAGAACAGCCCCTAATTTCGTATTGTAAGAGATAAATATGTGCTGAGGATGATGATGATGATGATTTTCCAGGTACAAGATGGAAAAGCTATTACATGCTTATCCTCACAACAGCCCCATTAAATAGGTATTATCACTCCTACCTTACGGATGAGAAAACCAAGTCTCACAGAGGTTAACCAGCTTGCTCCAAACCACACAGCTAAGTGTGTCAGAACTGAGATTTAGAGCCAGGTCTTGTTCCAAAGTCATTCCAAATTCCTGTCCTCCTGCCAAAGAGGAGGATTGTCCGATTATAAGACTCTCCTATCCAAGAGCCCCTTTCCTCTCTCCTACAGCCGTTCCCATTGCTGTCCATGGTTGTTACATCCCATCTGTCTCCTCCTGCCTTTCCTCTTCCATCACCCAAAGGACCTAGGACATGGTTGACCCAAAACAGGTGGAAGGGACTGCCACTTAACGAAAGGCACTAGGCACTGTGCCAACTATTTTACAAAGGTCTCGTTTAATCCTTACAGAGCCAAATGTGGCGGCTGACACCTGTAATCCCAGCACTTTGGGAGGCAGAGGCGAGAGGATTGGCTGAGCCCAGGGGTTCGAGACCAGCCTGGGCAATTTGGTGAGACCTCGTCTCTACAATAAAAAAAAGATTGTTGAGCGTGGTAGCTCCTGTAGTTCCAGCTACTTGGGAGGCTGAGGCAGAAGGACCCCCTGAACTCAGCAGTTTGAGGTTGCAGTGGCCGTGAGCATGCCACTTCACTCCAGCCTGGGCAACAAAGTGAGACTCCAACTCAAAAAAAACAAAAAACAAAAAAAACGTACAGAGCCCTATGAGAAAAAGTGAGGCACAGAGAGGTAAAGAAAATTTTTCAAGATCATGTAACTGGTAAAGGGTAGAGCATAAAGTCAAACCCAAGCCTGTCTGACTCCAGAATCATCTTCCTTCTGAAAGATTCCAGACACTCTCCTAACATCTCTGAGGTGCCTCATTGTCTGCTGGGGCAAAGGGTGCCCTCCAAGGCCCAGGGCAACTCTTTTAGCACAAGATACTCAGCAGTATTCACAGAGAGCTGACAGAGAAGGGTCCCTTTGCCAGGCCACCCCCTAGCAAGACATGCTCCTTTATTTATTTATTTATTTAAAAAATTTTTTTTAGTTGGAGTCTCACTCTGTCGCTCAGACTGGAGTGCAGTGGCCGCTCCCAGCCACCGCAGCCTCGACCTGCTGGGCTCCGGTGATCCTTCCGCCTCAGCCTTCCACGTAGCCGGAATTACAGGCATGCGCTACCACTCCCGGCTGATTTTTTGATTTATTGTAGAGATGAGGTCTCACCAAGTTGGCCAGGCGTGTCTTGAACCCGCGGGCTCAGGCAATCCACTCACCTCAGCCTCCCAAAGGGGCGGGATTACAGGCTGAGTCACCGAGCCCGGCTGATATGCTCCTTTATTTGGGTGCTGGGTGCATTAGCTGCCTCTGAATAAATCTGTGATTAGCTGCCCTGGCTGTATTTGCATAATGGATTTCACTTTGTTCTTAAGTTAATGGTGTTTTTGCAACAGAACAGTAACCTCTTGGTTCCTGGCCATTAAAATAACTGCCGCCCTGTAGGGTAGAGCCAGGGTTTGGGGGAAGTTCACTTAAGAGTCACAGAGGAGGTAGGAGGGGAGGTGGAAGGTCAAGGTTCCTATTGCATCACAGGTTATTAGTTTTCTTCTCCTTGAGTGTTTGAAAGGTCAGTGAGGGAGGAGTCTTAAGGGTTAGAGTCAGCCATGAAGGCAACAGGGAAATGCGGGGTGCAGGTTCACTCCCTGGCAGGCAATCTGGCCACAGGAGCATCTCCATTTTGTTCCTACAAGACAAGGTATTCAGAGAGAATGAAGTGGGTTTACAGAGTCATTATGGGAGGGGGTGAAGACCCAGCATGGTAAGTTCCTTTTTGCTGACAGGAATATAAAGAATCCAGAAGGCAAAATCTCCTCTATCTCAACCCTTGCCCTGAAAGAGTTTCAGAGGGCTCTAGAGAAGTGCAGAACAAACTCCAGCATTCCCCTGCCCAGCCTGGGTATCTGCCCACAGTGCCTGTCTGGCAGTTTTCCCCATACAGCCTCTGCTGGTCTTAGACACGTGGTTTGAACTCAGTCCTGGAACTCAGACCCTGGCTGGAGCCAACTGGATCTGTGGGGTGACCGTAAGGGCAGTGACCGTAAGGGCACTACCATGTGTCTGGCACTTCCTTGGACCTGTGTCCCTCCCACTGCATTTCAAGTGTTCATGGCACTGCCACCTCACATACTAAAAGCACCTCCGGGTACAGGGGTCCCATGGTTCCAGAATCCCTCCTCTGGCCCACCTGTGCAGCTGGGTTCCAGTCTCGTGCTCCAGCTGGGTCCACATCTGATAGCACTCATCCATCATCTGGGTATAAAAGTCTTCTACATATGCCTTTCGGATTATCCGGCTCTGTCCATGGGAGCTTCCTCGGGAGTGTGGTAGAAAGAACTGGAAGTGGAGAGCAAGAGAGAGCACAAAAGCCATTGCCTCTTACACTGCACTCCACTTTAGAAGCCATTTCATTGTGTGTTGTCAGCCAGGAACCACTTATCTTCCAAATATTTCTGTACAATCTTTCCAAATTCTCCCTTTATGATCAATTTTACTGACTTGGTGATCAAGATAGAAGCAGAAACTTAGGCTTCCTTTTTGCTAACCTTCTTTCACATCCAGAAGTCCCTTTGTTAGCTAGTCTTCCACCATCCTGCTGCAATTTCATTCCACTTAGACTCATAGAGAAGCAGAATTAGAAAGAAACTTCCAGATCATTCTAGTCTAACCCCTCCATTTTATGAACAAGGAAACTGATGCTGACTTTATTTCTCTATGGCTTCAGATTACTCAGGATTAGGGAACCACTTTGGAATTCAGTAAAAGATGGAGAGTTTCCTGAGAAGATGAACCGGGAATCCTTTGGGCGTTAAGAAAACTGATAGAGAAATGAAGAAGGTTTCTAACTACTCCGGCTCATTACCAGGAAGAGTAAACCATAACTGGCCTGGATAGCTACAGGCAGAATGGAAAGGGAGAGCCCACTGCAGCAGAAACTTTTGATGGTAAACTGATTGGTCCTGCCTTTGGAGGACCCTGCAGATACACAGGGCTCACCACATAGGCAGTGGTCCCTGGTATCAAACAAGGAAGCTTGCTACTAGCCAGAGGTGGTGGAAAAAATAGAAGCTTCTGTTGGGTTCTGTGATGAGAAGCCAGGAATACACAGGGAAGATTCCTACCTCTCAGGCTGATAAATCAACCTTTGCCTCTAGGCAAAATTATCTTTACTTAAGATTACCCAGAGCAGACCTGATTATTTTCCTGGATTAGATCAACCATTTGAGCACAGAAGAAACAAGGTGGCAAGAATGAAGAGAACAGGCCATGGGACATCTGGTCAAGGGCAGAAACTGGGAGATAGTAAAAGCAGGAAATCCAACGTGGGTCTGAGAGATAGTGAAACTTTCTTTGAATTGTCATGACAATTCACATTACACGGATTTATGATGATTCAGGCCCTTTGGTCTTGCCCTGTAGACTGATGGCTCTGGAAACTCCTTTTCAGGGGAGAAGAGAGGGACAGTCCCTAAGAGCAGGAGTGCAGAAGGGACACAATACCTGTTCCAGCAGGAGAACCCGCTTCCTGTGTTTGGCCAGGTGATATGCAGTGAAGCAGCCCTGGATGCCTGCCCCGATCACAATGGCATCACAGAGATCCTTCTGAGCAGCCATGATGCCCACTTGGTCAGCCCTACAGCCACAGAGCCCACAAGGAAGAAGGCAAGCAAAAGCGGGCTCCCGGCCAAAGGAGGAGGAGGAAGGCAAAGTCCAGCCTGGCCAACAATCCCACAATGCCCTGGGCCGTGTCCTCCTCCCCACTCTTTTTCCCTGCCAAGCCTGGCACAGGGCTCAGCCTCCCTTTGCCTGCAGAGCAAAGCTGGGTAGTCTGATTTGTGAGGTTTAGCCCAGCTCAGCTGCCAGCCTCACCCTTGCATCCCTCTGGCTTTCTATTCTTGGCTCAATTATTGTCATGCAAATGGGCTGCTTCCTTTGCCACCTTCCTGTCTCATTATGATCTTTGTCTCAGAACTTCGGCCCTGGAATTTCAATGTCTCCTAGACCAAGCTGGGCACCGGGAATGCTGCCTCCCCCTGCTGGCTTTCCCCTCTTCAGTCTGATTTCCTTTAGAGATTCTAGAGGGCAGAGCTAAGAACTTGGCACAATGCCCAGGGTAAGACCCACCTCCCTGGTGGGTGGTGAGGTCAGGGGGTAGATGCAGGGGCCAAATGGGAGGGCAGTTTTGTGATTATGAAATTACTCTCAGCATGTTTTACTTACATTTTGAAGAAAAGGGAAAAAGAAATGATCCTGAAAAAATGGAAAGGACAGAGTGAGAGGATGAGCCCTCTCCTCAGACACAGAGAGGGAACCAGGCATCAGCCTAGCACTGGGAGGGGCCCTGTGTTGAGCATTCCTCTGTGTCAGGAGGTGTGCTAAGTACTGTTACAGGCATTTGGGACAGAGCCAGGATTTGGGGGGCCTGATTCTTATACAGTTGGAGGTCCTCTTTAAGAAAAAGGAAAAGAAGAATTATGAACACAAAATTAGATACCAGGACTTGGAAGAGATCATTCAGTTAAGGAGGCCCATGGTTGAAGTTTCATTAGCTTCATGGTAAATCTGCCTCTGCACGCATTATCTCATTTAATCCTCATAGCCCTAAGGTATTTTTTTTTTCTTTTTCTTTTTTTGAGTTGGGGTCTTATTCTCTGGCTCAGGCTGGAGGGCAGTGACACAATCACAGCTCACCACAGCCTTGACCTCTTGGACTCAGGTGATCCTTCTGCCTCAACCTCCCGAGTAGCTGCTAATTTAAAATTTTTTTTTTGTAGAGATGAAGTCTCCTTTTGTTGCCTAGGCTTGTCTCAAATTCCTGGGCTCAAGCAATCCTCCCACCTCGGCCTCCCAAAGTGCTGAGGTAACAGAAATGAGAGTTTTTTCCCCTCACTTTTGGCAGATTAAAGATGGCCCCAATTTATCCATCACTCCTCCCATCACAGGCTTTGTGACTGCTTGACCAGTAGAATATGGCAGAAGTGATACCGTGACTTTCTGGTCCAGCCCTTAAGAAACTGGCGGCTTCTTCCTCTTATTTTGGAGCACTTACTCTTTGAACCCTGAGCCACCATGTTAGAAGTATAGTCACCCTGTGGGAGAAACTATGTGGAGAGAGCCTTAAACTATGTAGAGATCAGATATAAGAGTGAAGCCACATTGGCTCAGAAGGAGGCGGCTGGAGGATTACCTGAACCCAGCAGTTTGAGACCAGCCTGAGCACCATAGCAAGAACCTATCTCAAAAAATAAAAAGTGAAGCCATCTTGGATCCTCCAGCCCAGCCCAGCTGCCAGCTAAATACCGCCAAGTGACCCAATTGATCCAATCGATGCCATATGGTGCAGAAAAATCATTCATCTAAGCCCCATCTGAATTCCTGATCCACAAAATTGTGAGACAAGCCGGGCTCGGTGGCTCAGCCTGTAATCCTGCGCCTTTGGGAGGCTGAGGTGAGTGGATTGTCTTAGCCTGTGGGTTCGAGACCTGCCAGGGCAACTTGGTGAGACCTCATCTCTACAATAAATCAAAATGAGCCAGGCGTGATAGCGTGCATCTGTAGTTCCAGCTACTTGGAAGGCTGAGGTGAAAGGATCGCCAGAGCCCAGCAGGTCGAGGCTGGGTGACAGAGTGAGACTCCAACTCAAAAAAAAAAAAAAATTGTGAGATAGAATAAAATTGTTATTGTCTTCAGCCACTAAGTTTTGGAACGACTTTTTACACAGCCATAAATGAAACACTACTTGAAGGCCAATGACATGAAGGCTTAGAAAGGTTACAACTTGCCCAAAACCACACATCTGGTATACATAGACACCAAGACATGAAGCTAGGTCTCTCTGCTCAAGGACCCATTCCTTTAACCACTATGCTATACTGAGGATCAGTCAGAACTTGTAATGATGATTCTGATTTCAATATTCTGCTGTTTCTCTCATGGCCCTACTGTGAGTGGGAGAAAATAATGGTCCAGGAAACCCACGTGACTACAGAGGGCTGCCCAGCCTCAGCACAGTTTTCTGTTGAGGCCCCCAGCAAGGCTTCTCATTCCACAGAGTGGCCTTGGCAACCGGATGTCCTCTCAGCCCAGCCCTTGTCCCCCCAGGAAAACAGAAGCCCAGAGAGAGAGAGTGCCATCTGACTGACTTTTTCCCCCTTCTGGAAAAACAACAACAACATCATTCTAGAGTCCAGAAATCATCTCAACTCCACCCCACATGGGACAGGATAGTATCAGCTCCCAACAACTGGACAGCTCCCCTAGAGTAAAAAATGGCAGACATAACTGAGAAAAATGTACTATTTAAGTATGTAAAGGCTTGATATAAATATATAAGGTCAGCCCCCAGATTTCTCTTGATAAGATGTCAGAGGAGATGAACAGTTTACACACAAGGAAAAGCAGACAATAACTCCTCACATGGAAGTGTGCCCAGTCTCACCAAGCAATGAAAGAAATGGGAATTAAATAACTGTAAGGTACTATTATGTACCTATTAAATGAGCAAAAATAAATAAAAATGACAAAATCTTATGTTGTCGGTGCTGTGGAGACTGAGATAGAGTAGGGTGGCAATTTGCGTTGTCTGGGTCCCCTGGAGGTTGCTGAGGCAACATGCAACAATCAGAGTAAAATGACTCAAATCTCTGACCTAGAAATTCTACTTGGGGAACTATATCCCAAGGGGAGAAAAAAGTATGAAGACATTTTTATGTGTGCTTTTATAATATAAAAACATTGGAAATTATCCAATGACAGGGACTAGATGAACAAACTCTGGCCCATTGGCACAATGGGATATTATGTAGCTATTTAACATGACAAGCAGGCCAGGCACAGGGGCTCACAGCTATAATCCTAGCACTATGGGAGGCTGAGGCAGGAGAATTACTTGAGCCCAGGAGTTTGAGATCAGACTGGGCAACATAGCCAGACCTCGTATCCACAAATTTTTTTTTAATTAAGCCAGGTGCAGTGGCTCACACCTGCAATCCCAGCACTTTGGGAGGCAGAGGCAAGAGGATTTCCTGAGCTCAGGGGTTCGGGACCAGCCTGAGCAACATGGCGAGACCTCGTCTCTACAATACATAAAAAAAAATAACCGGGCATGGTGGTACGAGCTGGTAGTTCCAGCTACTTGAAAGGCTGAGGCGGACGGATCGCAGGTTGAGGCTGCAGTGGCCATGAGTGTGCCACTGCACTCCAGTCTGGGCAACAGAGTGAGACTCCAACTCAAAAAAATGACAACTTGGCCTAGTGCAGTGGCTCATACCTGTAATCCCAGCACTTTGGGAGACCAAAGTAAGTAGATTGCTTGGAGTCAGGAGTTTGAGATAAGTCTGGGCAATAAACCAAGATCTCATCTCTACAAAAACATTTTTAAAAAAATTAACCTGAAGGGGTGGCAAGCTCTTGTAGTCCCAGCTACTTGGGAGATTGAGGTGGGAGGATCACTTGAGCTTGAGCTCAGCAGTTCGAAGCTGCGGTGAACTATGATTACACCACTGCATTCCAACCGGGCGACAGAACGAGACCCCGTCTCTTAAAAAAAAAAAAAAAAAAAGGCTGGGCACGGTGGCTCAAGTCTGCAGGAGGATTACCTGAGCTCAGGGGTTTGGGACCAGCCTGAGCAACATGGTAAGACCTCATCTTTAAAATAAATCAAAAAATTAGCTGGGCATGGTAGTGCACGCCTATAGTTCTGTCTACTTGGAAGGCTGAGGTGGAAGAATCGCCTGAGCCCAGCAGGTCGAAGCTAAGGTGGCCATGAACATGCCACTGCACCCCAACCTGTGCGATGCAGTGAGACTGCTTTTCAAAAAAACAACAACCACCACAGAAATGTGTACATGAAGTAATACAGAGAAAGAGACGCAGAACACAGACAACACTGATCACAACCACGTGTTATGTGTATGCGTTATCAAAGATCTAAAGAGAATTTGGTAAGGTAATTGAGCTCAATGCTCATTAGTTTCCATATTCTGTAAAAATTGCACATCCATTCATAATTTGTGAAAGGAGAAATCCTCTGGGAAACAGATACTTCAAATCTACCCGGTCACCGGTTCTGGAGTCTGGGGAAGTTCACTTTGTTCTAATCTCCGTTCTTCCCGCTGCCCTTGACATTTCTTACTGTTCAGTCCTCCAGGGAAGCTGCAAAGCATCTCTGTATCCCACCCCCACCCCCACTTTGTTTAATACAATATCCCTTCAGAGATAAAATGACAATTCCATTTCCCCATCTCTACTTCAGAAGCCTGTCCTGGATTCCTGGACTTCAGCATTCTGCTTCTTGTTAAGAATTTCAAACAGCTCCTCCGAAAGCACACACTGGCCATGGCCCAACCTTGAAATGAAAAGTAAATCGACTTCTGAAGGCTTCCCCTTCTCTCAGGGTTGCCTGTCCTTGTGGATGTCCTGACAGGGGCAGGCAGAGAGAAGCTATCCACTCAGATTCCATTTTAACACCCATTCTGGATCGGAAGACTATTAAAGGGAGAGCCAGCAGCCCTACACCTTGCTGCTTGTGTGTGTCAGCAATCGCTGCTCATGTCCTGGGGCAGAGACGCTGAGGATATGAGCTGAGCAGCTCATCTGATGGCTTGATTGACACTTTGCAGACGGGGGTGGGAGAGCTGAGCCAGGGAAGCAGCAAGCTGTACAGATCAGAAATAATGAGAGGACCCGAATCGAGAGAGAGCGTGGAATAAATGAAAGACCGAGGATGGCAAGGCAGAAGCTTCTGTTCTCTCTTCCCTGTTCCATTTTGCCAAGGAGCCCGGGGCAAGGAGGCAGGCAGGCAGACCAGGAAGGACTCTCTGGACATGTCTTGCCAGTTGTGGGGCCCCAGATGTGCAGAGGATGCCAGCGTGAGAAAACAGAGCAGCAGAGTAGGCTTTGTGCGTGGTCTCCATACACATCACCGACCCGGTTCAGGTCTCAGGTTTAAGCCCTTCTCCGTCATCCTTGCTCCCTTTGCTGTGGGTCATCCCTCCGCCATCTTTCACCCAGATTACGGCATTAACCTCAAAATG